AAAAGGTAGCTACAAGCTTAAAAGGAGCTGAAAGCTGAAAAGCTATAAGCTAGGAGCTGAAAACTGAAGAGCTATTAAGCTAGTTGTTATGCTTGAAAGTGTTTGGTAAAAGTAGCATTTTGATAAGTTGATCACTGTAAAAAGACAAAAAAGGACATCTTCATAAAATTTAAATTAGTTTGTTTACATATTAAAATTTAACATTTTTGTCTTAAAAAAAATTAACATTTTAAAATAAAATTATTAGCATAATCATGATTTAGCATCACATAATGAAGAAGTAATATTGTTGCGATCCCATAATGAAGTAGTAATATTGTTGCGAATCTCCTTCATATGGTGGTGGTGGTGGTGGTATTATTATTTATAATAATAATAATAATAATAATAATAATAATAATAATAATAATAATAATAATAATAATAATAATAATTATTATTATTATTATTATTATTATTATTATTATTATTATTATTATTATAACTATAATAACAATTATAACAATAATAATAATAATAATAATAATAATAATAATAATAATAAGAATAACAACAACAATAATAATAAGAATAATAATAATAATAATAATAATAATAATAATAATAATAATAATAATAATAATAATAATAATAATAATAATTGCGATGAAAGTTGATAAAGGAGAAGAGAAAATCATTTTAATTGGGAAGGGTAAAGGATGTCATTTTTTTAAAATAATAAGGACAAAGATGGAAAAAAAGTTAGGAAGCTACTAGCTTATTTTGAAACGCTATCTAAGGTAGCTTTCCAAAATAAGCTCTTATTTTAAGCTACGAGCGTATTTTGGCAACATTACCAAACAGAGCTTATAGCTTATTAGTAGTTTAAAATAAGCTATAAGCTCCTAAATAAGCTCTGTCAAACAGAGTCAGAAATTAAAACCAAAAGTAATATTTATTTATATTATCATTTTAGACTAAGTATTTAGACTAAAATTTTTACAAAGTTTTAAACATTTATTTTAATGACAATTATAATCAAATCTTTCTTATATTATCTTACATTCATATACTTTGAATTATCAATTTAAATAAATAAATTCAACATTCAATTATCTATGCATGAACATCTCCTATATAATCTTGTATTGATATACTTTGAAGTATTTGTTTAAAAATAAACATTTGGCATTATCCTATTCGCGCAATGCGCATGAAAAACTAGTATATATATATATATACAATTCTAATAAGAGTCAATAATGTTAGGCCCTTAACCGGAACAAAAAAATGTCGGTAGTATTCAGGGACAGAGCCAAAAAATATGTTGAGGGGGGGGGGGGGGGGGGGGGGGGGGGCAAAGAAGTATGGATGGATTCAATGGCGGATTCAGAATTTTTTTTCAATGAGAGGAAAAAATAAAAGAGAAAGTTTGAAAAAAAAATGAAACACTTAAAAGAAGTATAACAATAAATATTGTTGGATACAGCGAAAAATAAAACATATTAAAACTTTATAAAAATATCTATAACGAAATATGAAACATAATTAATTTGATAAAACAATTCGAATATAAAACACATTATAAATTACGCATTCCATTATTAATATAAAGAAAGTTATATATACATCTCATTATTAATATTAATATAAAATAGAAAGACATTCCATTATTAATATAAAAGAAAGTTATATATATCATGCCAAAATTTAATTGTATTAAGCAAAGATGTGAAGAAGATTGTGACATTGTCAACGTAAGGACTCGAACCCAACCAATTTGAAACTCATACCCAAGCCATTTTAAAACTCATTTGTATTTCCTACTACCTTGTTTACCAAAGCTTTTGTTTACATAATCTGTTTTATAATACTTATATGAATAATGTACTATATATACATATTATATACAATATAGGGTAGGGGTGGGGTGAGGTGAGGGGGGGGGGGGGGGGCAGCTGCCCCCTACCCCCCTTTGGCTCCGTCTCTGTAGTATTGTTTCTTAAAATGAATGGTTCATATGATTTTGATTTTAGTATTTTTTAATGATTTTTCTTATTTACCCCTTAGCTTATTATATTATTTTCTTTCCTTAAATAACTTAAATTCCGTTAGTATACACTTTAGTAACGAAATATTCCGTTAACTATTTATTATTTTTAACTTACTCATTAATTTCTATAAGAAAAGTCTTAGGTTCCAACCTCATCCCAATTAGAGTTGGCATAATTGTTAAACATATATACTACGAATATGTTAAAATGTATTAAAAATATATATAATATAAAAGTGAGAAGTTGAAAGAGAAAAACCAAGAGTTTCAAGTTGAAAGTGAAAAGCTAAGAAAGCTAGAAGTAGTGAACCTTGAAATTTAAGGTTTGAAAGAGAAGGACCTTGTGAAAGTGGCTAATGTGGCTAAGTAAAAGAGCTTTTGCTTGTGCTTGTTTGTGCTTTACTTGTTGTAAGCCTCACCTTTAGAATAGAGAAATTAGTTGAAGTTAACCCTTAGTTGTGCTAACAAGCATGATCTGTTCTGATCATGTTAAAGGATCGTCGCTATGCCACCGCGAAGAGTTAAGGAAGAGACTCCTCGTTCGTCAGGACCCGGAGCATCGTCTTCCACAGACCTAACTGTAACACCCCGTGTTACGGCCCCTAAAACCATTTAATTAATCAATCAATAAGCCGAAGAGAAGGAATAAATCATAATGATCAATTAGGGAAAAAGGCCCACCGTAGCCCATGGGCCCTCATATATAAACCCAACCCCTAAACCCAATCCTTAGTTCCGAAAGGAATAGAATTAGCAAGCCTGTAATATTAGTTCCTAACTAGGACTCCTAAATATATAAATAAGGGACTTAGGAGACACCTAGAACTCCCCACATGCCTAAACGCCCCACCTCCCCAGGAGAACTCCAAGAATTCCCTTAGAAGAAAGCAAGAAAACAAGGAAGCTTAAAGAAAGACCCTTCATAGCCAAGGAACTAATTAAGGCTAAGAGGTAACCCATGTCTCAACAAAACCTATTTTCATAGCTATGATTTCCCCTTAGGGTTTCCCCCCATATGATTGTAAATGGCGAATTACTATGATTATTATTGATGTTGATTTAATGATTCCATGGGGAATCTTGATAATCTTGATACTGGGAGTTTCTTGATAATTATGATGTTCTTGATGATTAATTGGGATTTTGATGATTATGTATTGTTCTTGATGATTATGATGTTCTTGATGATTAATTGGTATCCTTGATGATTATGTGTTGTTCCTACCGAATCTTGCAATTAGAAGACGAACCGTATTCTTGTTGATATAAAAGTGATTAGAACCCTAGGTTGTATCGTATGATCTTATTCTTGGATTATCGGGTGGGAAATCGCATGTTTGGGTGTTGATTATGATTAGAAAAGCATGTTAGGTTATGTGCCGTTCGTCTATCGTATTTGATCCGTTAATTGTGTATGTGTTGTCGTTAATTACGTTGAAAAGTGTCTAAGCATGGTTTCGGGTTCCACAACGGTTCCCGGGGCGAAAAGTGATGAAAAGAGTCAGTGGGGGGGGGGGGGGTAGGTGGGGGTAGGGGACCCGCCACCTACCCGCGGCAATCTCGGGTAGCTCCGGCAGCGGGCAGCCGGCGGGAGGGCAGCTGCCCGTCGGGCACCCGCTGCCCGGAACAGTGACAGCCGGCGGGTGGACCCCCACCCACCGGCTACCCGCTGGAATCTCACCCCACCCGGGACCTCGGCTTCCCCATTTGATGTTTCCCCGATCCCCGTGGTGTCCCAACGGACCCCGTTTGTCGTGCCTATGTCTAGTTTGATGTTTCGGGTACCGTTCGTAGGTTTATGAGTCTGTTTTATCGCATGCTAGTTGAATTGGTATACCGTTGACCTAGGTGAAAGAAGTATGAACCCCTTAGGGCTATCCTTAGTATGTGATGGATCACGCATAGGTTTGTTATACGCTTTATTCCCCTTCCCAATGTGTAACGTGGGTTGCATGTGCTTGCTATGTGTTATGTGTGTGTGCTACCCCAATTCGGTTGCGATCGGATTGGTTATCCTGAGCTACGGTTCAGAAGCTGGCTGCGGTCAGATTGGTATTCCTGGCTGCGGTCAGATGACATTCTCTTGGGCTGCGGTCCACCGTTTGGTTGCGATCAAACGTTTCTATACGAGCTGCGGTTCGTCCTTTATCCTGGCTGCGGTCAGATGACACTCTCTTGGGCTGCGGTCCACTGTTTGGTTGCGATCAAACATTATGATGAGCTGCGGTTCATCGGTCGGTTGCGATCGACCTCCCCGTGTTGCGATACGGGGCATGGTGCTGCGGGGCTGTGTCAGAGCTATATGCGCTGACCCTCATGTATGGGCATGCGATCGGTCCCGTGGCGCCAACAATGTGCGTTATGTGTGTGATATGGACGAGTTGTGACTATGAGTGCCTTGGGATGTGACTATGGGTTTCATATTGGGGATTGTTTATGATGGGATTATGATTACCGTTTATGCCTTGTCGTAACTGCTTTATCTATTGTGAGATGCTTATACTTGCCATGTCTACTGCTAGTGTCTAGCCTTAACTGTTGAGTCATTCCCGGTTTTAAAAGCTAGAGTTCGTAGGATATATCTTCATGCTCATAATGGTTTTCGTATATCTATATATATCTCTATATGTATTGTATTTCAACGTGTTGGAGTGGGTTACCAGCATCTCTCGCTGAATAGATATATTTGGCTTTCAGGCACAGAAGAATAAGTCACTGGAGCGCGCTAGAACTTAGAACGTAGAAGTAGATAGTTCCCTTTTCGGCCTGCGTGCCATATTATGCATTTACATTATTGAGGATATTAGTTAGTTAGCTTGTGCACCTGGGTTCTCTAGCTCAGGTGTGGCATAGCACCCCGTACACTTGTATTATGTTTTGGGATTTAAAGAGGTAATACCTTTATTTATAAGTTTTAAATGTCTTGAAAATCTGGGGTGTTACACTAACAGAAAGCCTACGCCAGCTCATGCAGCTGACTCAGACGATAGGAGCCATAGTGCTTAATGGGAACAACACTGGCGGGGATGTGTTTAGAAAGATCACGGGACGCAATCCACTGAGTTACTTGGGCCAAGAGGACCCGGAGATCCTCGAGAGTTGGATCCGCACGTTCCATAAGCTGTTCGATGTAGTAGGCTGCCCGATGGATCAACGAGTAGAGTCAGCCGTGTACTACCTTCAAGGAGAAACTGACCACTGGTGGGTAATGGAAGGACCAGATATCAAGGAAAAAGAAGGATTTGATTGGGAGATGTTCAAGACAGTAATGAGAGAGAGGTTCTACCCGGAGCGTGTCAAGGCTACAAAATATGAGGAGTTCTTGCACCTTGAGCAAGGAAGATCGACAGTTCAGGAGTATCATGCCCGCTTTGTGGCGTTGTCTCGTTTCGTTCCAACTTTGGCACCGGATGAGGTCAGTAAGGCTCGAAAGTTTGTTCGGGGACTGCATTTTGATGCACAAAAGTTGTTCGCTGCAACAAAGTTTGCCACGTTGACCGAGGCTTACGACGAAGCTGCTGGTCATTCCAGGATTCAGCAACTCCATCGAGATGCCTTGCATGGATCGAAGAGGAAGAATGAGGGTATGGACGCCCAGTCAAGCAAAGGACATCGATTTAACCCTGCAGGCAGAGTGACAATCGAGGTGGAGAAAGGAAGAACCTAGTGATGAGACAAGGAGTTGGAGCTGGAGGACCATCTAGCGAGAGGAGTAAGGTTTGCCAGAGATGCGGCAAGGATCACCCTAAGAGTACGTGTGGAGGATCACCTGTGATTTGTTTTCCGTGCGGGAGGCCGGGTTATAGAGTTGCAGTTTGTTGGTATTCGAAGACGGAGCAATCCCATGGTACGACCCCGAGCCAGCCACCTAGAGGTCCGACTAGCTAGGCACCCAATAGAGGGATGGGTCGAGGAAATAGGTCGAGAGGAGGTTCTCATGGAAATGGCAATCAAGGGCGAGGAGGAGCTCAGCAAGGACGTGCAGTAGGAGCTGGATCAGGAAAGATTATGGTCATGGGGCAGACCCAGGCTGGAAGACGTGGCGTGGAGAAAGGAAACAATCTAAACTGGAAATTTAGTGCTTTTCTGATTTTGCCTTAGTACTTGTTGACTTTTGTGCATGAGAAAGTTTTGTGCGATTTTGTGTTAGTTATGAGATTTGGAAACCAAAGTGTCACTAGAAATACTTTTGAAAAGTTGGGCAAGAGTGCCGAATGTGAAAGTGAAACTTGTAAGAACAAGTTAGCGAAAAGTAAACAACGAAATCGTTAAAGAACGATTAAAGTTTAAGATAGAAGAGGTAGTTCTGAAAGTAGCGTTTAACCCAAGTAAAGTAAGAACGGAAAGAGTCTATCTTCGTTAAGGAAGACTTAAACAAAGATTCGATTTGAGTTTACGTTGGATCGGGCAATCCTGAAAAAGGAATTGGAAAGTCAAAGGATTGACTAAGAAATTGAAATTTCTTGAAGTGAAGAACTACACTCAATTTTGACTCTAATTGGGATTTGGACAGAGTCGGAGGACCAAGTGAATTTGGGGCCGGATGGGACCGACCCCTTTACCCGACCTGCAAGCGGGTATAGCCTCCGGAGAACAACGGACTCCGTTCCATTGTAACGGAACGTGGTCACGGGCCACGTAGCAGCCCGTGACCTGGGGCCGTGTCAGGCGCGCTAACACCGGCTCTCGAACCGAAACTCTAAGAGAGCCGTTTCCCAAGGACCGCCCAAGCTCAAGCCTTTTTCCAGAATCCTTTTCCAAATCAGTTTGTGTAGAAATCATCTTCTTCTCCTTCCCTTCTATGTAGCTACTGCATCAACATCAAGAAAATCCCATCTTCTTCAAATCATCAATTTTCTTCCTAGAAAATTCAAGGATTCATTCTACAAGCCATCTTAAGTACAAGAAAAATATTTGTGGAGTGTTCTACCACTTCTCAACAAGTTCAACACAAGAAGTTGGATTGCAATGGTCAAAGGAAAGAAGCAAGTAGAGGAGACTAGCCATGAAGGCTCTAACTATTCGGTCATTGGAGGTAAAACTTATTTTCCTGAGCTCTTTTCTGAGGATTTTAATCGAATGTTAGAAAGTCGAGGGTTATTGAGGAAGTTTCTAAGGATTCAGGAGGAAATTTATCCGGATTTAGTTATTGAATTTTATGAGAACCTGTCCACCAAGCACAAGAAGGGAATCACAAAGGTTACCTCTAATGTGAGAGGTATCAAGATAGAATTGACGCCACAAAAGTTGGCTAGTTGGTTTGATTTGCCGTTAAGTGGGGTAGATACATATGATCGGGATGATTGGATTTCCCATGATAGGGTGACCTACCTTGAATATCTGAGATACATGACTAGTAGTAGGGAAGAGTTCCCTAAGGAATATAGACCTGAAAAGTCCGCCTTGAACGGTGAGAAAAAGTTGTTGGTATTGCTGATAGAAGAGTGTTTGTTCCCGTGTAGGAACAACGCTAGTGAGATCGGTAGTTGGACTTGCACTATTGCTTTCTTTTTGAGATTTGCACATGAGATAAATCTGCCAGCTTTAATCCTCAAGCACATGTCCTATACCAAGACCAGGAACAGGAAGTCTTAGCCCTATGGCATGATGTTGAGTTGGGTATTTATCAAGATGAATATGCCCGAGCGTGGGGAAAGAGTACAAAAGACCATGAGGACGACTTTAATTGCCACCAATTTGAGATACTAGTTGATAAGGAATACCTCACTTTGTCACAGATTGCGAGGAAACCTTTGGATGAAAGAATAACACTTGTGGTTAGTTTGAATATACCACAAAAGAGGTAGGCAAGTGTGGGAATTGAAGCCAGACACATTGCTGAGGCGAGTGGCGAAGGTAACGTCGTGGGAACAGATCAAGAGATGAGAGTTGAGGATGAGGGAGCACCAGTTGCAGCACCTCCGATAGTGCCACAGGGAGAGTATATGGGTGGACCTAGGGGACACTCATACGATGACATGTACGAGATGATCAACACAAGGTTTAATAATTTGAGTGCACAAGTCAATTATGGATTTGCTAATTTTGATCAAAGAGCAGCTGTGATAGAGGAAGGGATGGGCATTGAGAATGTCCAGAGATGGACCCCGTACGGTTGGGACCCTAGCTACATGCCACCAGGAGGTTCCTCGGGAGGCTTTGATGAAGGTAATCAGTTAAGCTTTAAAGTTCAGTTAGTAGTTAAGTTTGCGTAGCTAGTTGTGTTTAAGGTTTAGTTAAAATAACTAAGAAGCTCAGAGATTCCTATTTCACCAATGTGTTCCACAAGAAATCCTTAAACCAAATCTCGATACTCCTAGTATCCTTCTGAAAGTTTCCTTACCAAGTGATTCATTCGTTTGTTCTCAGTTTTGGGACGAAACTTCCTTTTTGGGGGTTGGATGTGACAACCCAAAATTTAATTTTATAAATTCGATTTTAAGAAAATCCAAAATATCAAATTTTCACTCCATAAAAAAAAATTGCGATGAAATCGGTGTTGAATAAATTATTTTGAGCCACTTTAAATTTAATTCAACACCAAGACTTGATTCAAAACCAACATCTTAAATTTTCGGGTACATTGCGTGCTAAGTTTTGAACTGAGAAACATATTTGAGTGAAACCGGGATGAATCTGAGAAGCCTAAATCAAGTGTTTATCTAGAAATCAGTTTGGAAAAATTCCTTTTCCAACCCCAAACTATTTTAAAATAGCAATTCTAGCATTGGTTCATGGAGTATGGCAGACCACAAGCAACCAACCTTGTCTGGTAACATCTTTTAGCGAAGCTTTTTACTCTTCTACCCTCCACTAATCGTGAGGAATCATCCTAGGATTTTTGTTCTACTATATATTCAAGCCTTATCAGACTTTGCCTCTTTGATTCCATCTTTGTCTCCCTCCCCTGCAAGAACACAAAGCCACTCACAGTAAGTATGCTAAACTCCTCCTCCATCCATTCATTTTTCCTTCTAGCTTTCATCCATTCTCTGAGGCTCTAGTTTTAAGTTGGTAGTGTGGTTTGTTTGAGATGTTTAGGAGGTGAAGGAGGTTGTAGCTAGCTAAGGAAGAAGGTGGAATCCAAGCAAGAAGAAGAAAGCTTCAAAGGTATAACCCATGGACTCCCAAGCTATTTTCTAGACTCTGTGAAGTCTATTGTTGAGTAGAAATATTAGATTATTGAAGTGTTTGAGCTATTAAGTGATCTATTGTTGACTTATGATGTGCTGTTGATGGTTTGGATGTGTTGGAAATCCCTGAGATTTTATTTGCAGATGAGAATAAGCCCACTGGAGCACAGACAGTGTGCACCAGTAAGTTTCACAGGCCTAGCCAACGGCCCTCAGAGGGAGTATAAACTCGTGGGCCTGGAGATGGTCGGAGAGATGCGCCAGCGTGACCGGAGATCCCGACACCGTCAACGAAGCTGCCATGGCTTTCAGTTCCGGCCTCAATCCCCTAAAAATATAGAGATTTTGCTCCATGAGGGATAACGGTCGGCCGGCCTGAGCTAAGGCCTCCATGAGGGATAACGGTGCATAGACAGTGTGCGCCAGTAAGTTTCACGGGCCTAGCTAACGACCCTCAGAGGAGGCCGTTGGCTAGCACCATGGTAGACCGACTCTAGAGGACGGTCCTAGAAGAAGGCCGTTGCCCAGATCCGCGTCTTAGGCAGGCCAAGGGGCGGGCCTAGCTAAGCCCCGCCCCAAGCCCCGTTGAGAGTTCTCTATGCAGTGGCCGGGCCCTTGTGGCTCAGCTACATGTCGTTTCGGACGAGGAATCGTGGGCCCTTGTGGCTCGGTACCTCGGGGCTGTCTTGACGCACGTTTTGGCTTTTATTTCATTGAGTTTGGAGAAGATTCGAGCCTTTTATGTTACATTTTGTGGAAATATATGTTGCAGAAGTTGCATCAGTGAAAGAAAACGGGAAGTATCAGACTTTGAGTACCTATATGATGAGTTTGTTGCTATTTGATTGTTAAATAGAGAAGTATGAACACTATGTGTTAAGTTTTGATTGAAAAGCATGTTTAAAGTGTCTTATATGATTTATTGAGAATCTTGCCTAGCTTGTAAATGTTACAGTGCATGTCTAACTTGCATGTTCAATTGCAGTAAATGAGTATAAGATGTGTATTTTGAGTCTAAGTACATATTGAATTACATGCTAAGTGTTTGATGAGAAGAATTATCAAGTTATATGGTTAAAAGCATGACTTAAGTATTTATTGAGTTTTCACAGTGAATAAGAAAAGGAAGCGTGTTTTATAGTAGATGGCATTGTTGATCATATCATATTTTAAAAGTGCATAAGTGGCCAACGTGAGCCTAAGTATTATTTTCCAAAAAACTCATATCCATGTTGGAAAGTCATTATCTTGTCATATTGAGAATGAGTTGAGAAGTTATGTGCATATTTGCATAAGAAAAGTTGTGCATGTTTGGATTGCATGAGTGATATATATATATATTTCTATTGTGAGGAGAATCTTGTTTTGGATGGCCTGTTTGGATTATGTCCTTTCGGAGTAAAAGAGAAAGAAATGGACATTGCGATCCGATATCATGTAACGCGGTGTATTCCCACATTACGAGATTGGAAACTGCCCGCCAGGTTTGGAATCCTGGTCAGGGGGTGTGCACACTGATAGTTCGATACCTAAT